GCTCTTCACTAACATGTCGTCCACGTACACCTTCATTGTTCTCCTAATCTGAGACTGAAACATTTTGTTCACCAGTCGTTGGTATGTGGCTCCTGCATTTTTCAATCCAAAGGGTATGAACCTGTAGTAGTAGGTTCCCTTTGGAGTGCTGAATGATGTCTTATCCTGGTCTGGGGGATGCATGTTGATTTGGTTATACCCAAAGTATGCGTCTAGGAAAGTGAGCAGTTTGTGACCTACAGTAGCGTCGACAAGAATGTTGATTCGTGGCAACGGGTAGCTGTCTTTAGGGCATGCCTTGTTGAATTTGGTGAAGTCAACACAGAGACGTTATTTTCCATTGGCTTTGGTCACCATCATTACATTTGACTGCCAAACTAGATAGGCAACTTCTCTAATTGTCTCATTTTTTTTTAGTTTTCCCACCTCCTTCTCCATTGTCTAGCCCCTCTTAGTGGAGACATTCCTCAGCTTTTGGCGAACGGGCTTGTAATGAGGATCGACATTGAAGTGGTGTGTGGCAACCTCAGGATCGATGCCTACGAGGTCCTCGTGCGACCACGCAAACACGTCCATATTGAGCCTCAGAAATTTTGTGAGTTTTTGGGCTAGATCCTTAGGAAGGGGGGAGCCAATGTACACCCTTTTGTTTGGAAACTTCTTATCTAGGACCACTGGTCTGAGCTCCTCCACTGGTTCTCCTCTCTCCAGTGTGGTATCATCTCTTGGGTCGAGCACCTCCACTTATAAGGCTTCTTGTGACTTCTTGGTTGTCATGAAGGAGACGTAGCATTCTCTTGTAGTAACCTGATCTCCCTAGACCTCTCCAATTCCACTCAAGGTTGGAAAATGGAGGATAAAATGATAAGTGGAGGGCACGACTCTTAGGGTGTTAAGAGCAGGTCTCCTTAGGATGACGTTGTAGGCCGACAGGCAGTCTATCACCAAGAAATTTACCATGACCGTGGAGCTTCAGGGTGCAGCACTAACGATGAGTGGCAAGGTAATGGATCCTAAGGGGTATACTTTATACCTGAGTATCCAATAAAGGGCGACCTAATAGGTTGTAGCCTTTCTCTCCCAAGGCGGAGCTTATCATAGGCTTCTGCAAATAAGATGTCAGCAGAGATACCACTATCTATGTGAATCCTTCACACTTAAAAATTGGCAATGGTCATGGTTAGTACCAGTGGGTCATCATGGGGGTGTTGAGTCCCTTCTAGGTCCTTGTCTAAAAATGATATGACCTCGTTGTTTCCTTGCTTGGGTGTCTTGGATAGGTGCAGATTGTCAAGGTGTCTAGCTTTTTTGGCATAGGCCTTCATGGCGCAGAGGGATTCTCCTCCTCCTGCTAGCCCTCCAGAGATGGTGTGAATCTCTCCAAAAGGTTGCTGATCCTCCTGGTTATGAGGCGGTGGTGGTGCTTAGCCTCTACTAGCAACATACTGGCGTAGTTGACCACGTTGTATGAGCTCTTCAATCTTTTTTTTGAGCTCAAAGCAATCGTCGGTGTTATGGCCGTGATCCTTATGGAAGCGACAATACTTGTTCGAATTCCTACGGTTTGGTGGAGATTTCATTCTTCCCGGTCACTTTATTGCGGGTTCTTCCTAGATCTGAAATAGGATGTGTCTGACAGTAACGTAGAGAGGAGTGAAGATATGTCGCTCTTTCTAAGGGGCAGGACTAAGTCGGTCTTTGGCAGACACTCTTTCTGTCCTGGCTTGTTTATTTCTGATCTCCTTCTTCTCTTATTTATAACTTTCCTTTCTCTTATCCCCTGTTTGTGAGGATTCACCTCACCTAACTCTGGTAATGTCCTCAGCATTCATATATTTTTGGGCTTTTGCCAGCAACTCTAGCATGCTCTTTGGTGGGCGTTTCATCACTAAGAAGAGGAAGTTTGATAAGCGAAGACCTTCCAAGAAGGCAGTCATGGTGACCTTATCATCAGGCTCCTCGATCTAGAGGATCTTCTCGTTAAAATGAATGAGGTAACTCCTTAGACTTTTGTCTCAATCCTACTTTTATGCTAAGCGTGTGGGTGGCAGGCTTCTGGTGGCAACGTCCTCCAATGAAGTGTAACACAAAGAACCTGCTGAGTTCGTTAAAGGAGCCAATAGAGGCTGGGATGAGCTTGATGAACCACTGTTGGGCAGACCCTTTCAAGGTAGTTCGGAATGCCCTACACATGATTTCATTAGGAACATTATGCAGCTGCATTAAGGACTTGTAAGTTTCGAGATGATCCAATGGGTCTTTTGTACCGTCAAAGATTTCCACTGATGGCATTTTGAACTTCTGGGGGAGGGGTTAGTTTGTCATATCTAGCACAAAGGGTGTGTCAGTTCGCCTTACGAGATAATTCACAGTCTCTGGTCCTTGCGCCTTCATGGCATTGAAGACGTCATCTAGTTGATTTTGTACTTCTTTGATTTTTCGTCCCAGTGATTAGGAGCTCCTTTGGAATTGTCACGGAAATGACTCACATGCTCGACGCTTTAATTCTTGGCCTCATCCTCTTGGAAACAAGGATGTCCACTATGGGAAAAGGGAGCTAGAGGAGGAGGTTGAGCTCCCTCATGGTTCTGATGAGGGGCTCCCTCAGGGGGCGGAGCTAGAAAAAAAATTTAGGATGGGCACACTAGTATGTTTTAATTATTTTTTTAATAGACCATAAAAGTTCATAAATTTATATTTATTATAATTATATTTAATATTTTTTAAACATAAAAAATTAAAAATTGATATACATAACATGAACAAAAAAATAATAATTAAAACTTCTTATCAAGAATGTAACTAATTATTATTACTGATAATTGATCCTGATATATTTTTATTATTTGAAAGAGTTATAAATTAATTTTATCAACAATATTTCTTTATATATAAAATTGTAGTAATAATTTTTCATTAAGATCCTATAGTTTACTACATAACGACACACGTTTTTATACAATAACGAAATAACCCTACAATTTAAAAAAATTATAAAATAATATCAATATATTCAAAACATATTCAGACATGTCTAAAACATGTCTAAAAGTTAGAAAATATATTAGTTGTATCTAATTTGAGATTTAATTGATAAAGACTCAATGTTTTGTAACTATTGGATAGATAGTAGAGTTTATTAAATATTAAAACTCACTATTATACTTAATATCGCAATCTATTAGGTCCTTAAATTGGGTTTTAATAACATTGTTCAAAAAGTTAACAATCATTTATGTAGGGGTCTATTAAAATCAATATCACTAGAATACAATATTATGATGGGCACAATTAAATATATCTAAATTTTATTTCAAAAAATACATGTTTAATATGAAGCAAAAAAAAAAAATTGAGAGGGGGCCAAAAGTTTTATTTTTTTAATAGGTTTGGGTGGATTATGATAGGTCAAACATTTGATATTTTAATAAATCTGGGTAGATAGTGGTGGGCTTAATTTTTCTTCTTTTAAATGGGCTTAATTTTTAAATTCTTTTGGGTAAATAATGTGAGCCTAATATTTTTATCTTGAGTTTTGGGTAGGCACAAATAATATATTATACAAATATAATATATATATATATATCTAACTAATAAAAAAAATTGAGGGGGGCACTTGCCCACCCTGGCCCATGCCTCCTTCCGTCCCTAGGCTCCCTTGTAGGGGGCACCCAAAGGGGCTCCTGAGGGGGGGCCCAAGTGGGGAGCTACTTGACAACCAAGGTGAGGAACTCATCTGGCTTGATGTCCTCCCGACTGTGCACCTCCTTGTTGTCCAGCGAGCATTAGCTACAGTTTTTGTTGATTTTGAATTACAAGTTGTTGCATTGTTTCCAGCATCTGCCGTGCATTTGGACATGATTAGTTAGTGGAGGGGCAGTCTCCTCCTCAAGTGGTGGATTGTCTTCAGGCTAGTTCATGGATCTGGTGGAGATCACCATAGGTACAAGAAAAAGGTGGTTGGGTGAGAACTTTGTCGTTTCCCACAAACGACGCTAAACTGATGATGCACCAATCGGTGTTATGCACCACCTGTCAAGTGATTAGTAAGTAATGCAGTAATTAAATAAAGAGAGAGTAACACATGCGAGACAAAGATATATAGTGATTCAGTCAACGTGAACTACTCCAATATGAAGGGCAAGAATGGCCTGGTGTTTTATTACTTCGAGGAGTATAGGGAGAGCAGAGAGATACAAGCAATAAAAAAGAGATGAGAGTGATAACAGATGTGCTCAATGTTCCCCAAGTATTGACGGGGTTTACAATTTATATTGGCTCTCAAAAGACTAAGACGTTTTTTTAGTAACTAAGTAGCGAATCTAGTAGAGTTGACGCTATTTTCTCAACGGATGAGACAGTTACGAAACTCCCCTTAAGATCAGGTCAAAGGATAATGTGGTGGTTGACTTCTTTCATGGCGGTATAGATGAGGTTCTTTAATAACCCTACTTACTCTCTTGGTAATGTAGCTCCTCAAAACCTAGTGAACTTGATTGAGTGTGTACAGCCCGTTGCATCTTTTTAAGTTGGGCTCTTTATTCAGACTGAGCTTATAATATGAGTTGAGCCTAGCCCATCAAATAGATCTCCCCACTTCCGATGCATACTTATAGTTTCAAAGATAAAAAATTGTTGCAGAAATTACACGAGCTAAATACCAAAATTTTGTTTTAGTGCATAATTTTAATTAATTGAAAATATTTCAATGATATTTTGAAAATATTTCAAAAATAAAAAAAAATATTAAAAATTTATTTCAAAGCATCGGTCCAAATTAGTTAAACATACCAAAATCCTTCCAAATATCTTACACCATACTTGCTCGTTGTTTAAATTTGAGTTTCTATAGTCATGACCACTCGATGGGTTAAACTTACTTTCGTCGAAAACACATGCTAGGGCTTAGTTTTGATCCAGCAGATAACGGTGTGGTGTGTGGTATGTGGTGATGAGATTTCACAAATAGATAGAGTANAACTTACTTTCGTCGAAAACACATGCTAGGGCTTAGTTTTGATCCAGCAGATAACGGTGTGGTGTGTGGTATGTGGTGATGAGATTTCACAAATAGATAGAGTAATCTATCTGCATATTTATTTTAAATATTTTGATTCTTACTCTCACAAGTACCCTTTTTGCAGGTGCAATTCCACAAGAGATCGGGAAGCTTTGTAGCTTGGAGGTATTGGCTATTCAGGACGCCGCCCTCATTGGTCTCGTACCTTCTTCAATCTACAACATCTCTTCTCTAAAATGGCTTTTCCTGTACAAAAACAACCTATCTGGAATTTTGCCAAAGGAGACATGTCTGCATGTCCCAAAGCTCCAAGTTCTTGATCTTCATGATAATAAGTTTACAGGAACCATTCCACAAGGAATTGGGAACTGTACGTCCCTTTCGATGTTATATCTCAATGGCAACAATCTGACAGGTTTGATTTTATCTGCCATTTATTTGTGCCAAGTTTCTTTTTTTTTTTTTTTTACGTTCAGAGCTCTAACCCCTTACAAGTTTTGAGACTTTTGGATCAACGGTTACGTTCAAAGCTCTAACCCCTTATAAGTCTTGACACTTTTGGATCAACAGTTGAGTTCATAACAATTGGTACTAGAACAGACACTACGTCATCAGTTTGAATTGCAGAAGGAGCGAGTTATAGGCCGGATTAAAATATCTTAGAATTATGTTTGGTACAGTACTATTGTGTTGAATACTGGTAGACGAGTGAAGAGAAAGGGCTACCGTTGGGTCGGCTTTGAGTTCATAACATCTAACATGTCCACTTTTGTGATAATTCTGCTTCGTGTTGGAGTTTTAGTATTCTGCAGATGTTCTGTTTGAGAAATTTTCGACACAAGGAGCCTTATGAATCAAGCTGGTAGTAGTTCTTAAAACGACCCTTCAATTCAATATGAAAACAACGATGAATTTATTGTATGATTTTGGATTAAAGGGTTTAGAGTGGATTGACGGGTCAAACCCACTTAATATATGAATGAATCAATATCAACCTGACTATGCATGACTATGTATGATTCATACGTTAGACAGACGAACAACGAAACGAATCTGACTATATGCGTTTATAAATGGATTTAAGCAAATTTTGGCATAACATAATTTGGGCACAACACGATTCCAGCATGACCCTACTTATTGCCGACCCTACTTATGAACAGTTAACCTGGGGAGGTGATTGACACATTGTGGTTGATTCCTTTTCTATGTTTTTGGTTGATTCCATTATGAATTTTGTATGGTAATTCTTCTTTTCGTATCATAAGCTTATCAAATCAAATTACGACTCTAACACACCAAGTTACGACTTAATGGAGTCTGAGTTGGGATCAACCCCAAGTTTTTTAGATTGTTCGCAATTTGCTTTGTTGTCTCAAGGTTTTGAGGATCGATCACAAATTTGTGGACCTGATTCAGTCATAACTTGACTTTAATGAGTCATTATATTTTCCAAATTTTTTTGGCAAGGTATCTAGTCAAAACCATAGATTTTTCATTCAAGTTAGACATGCTCACCACACTTAAGCCTTATCTATTAACTCAACTGAACATTTACACCATTGCACAATGCCTTGGCACGGTTGTTTTTGTCAAAGTTCATGTTTTATACATTTTAGCAGGTGTAATCCCACAAGAAATTGGTCATCTTGGCAATTTGGAGAGGTTGGTTCTTGCTTTCAATGTCTTGAGAGGCCCCATTCCAGCCTTAATCTTCAACAACTCAGCACTACAGATCATTTCACTGGCAGACAATTTCCTTTCAGGCAAAATTCCATCAATTATAGGCCAGAGGCAACCCAATCTTGAACAACTTATTCTTCCAAGGAATAACCTCAGTGGGATGATTCCCAACTCTATCTCAAATGCCTCTAAACTCACTACACTAGACCTTACTTCCAATGCATTCACTGGTTCCATTCCCAACAAACTTGGCAATCTGAAACAACTTCAGCTTCTTGGTTTTGGACAGAATAATCTTGTCAACGAACATCCATCTGCAGAATTGAGTTTCCTCACCTCCTTGACAAATTGCAGACATCTAAGAATATTCTGGATAACTAATAATCCCCTAGAAGGCATTCTTCCAGTTTCTATAGGGAATTTCTCTGATTCTCTGAAAATTGTTGACATGCATGGTTGCAAAATCAGGGGAAAAATTCCTGATGAAATTGGTAACTTGAGTAATTTGGCATTCTTAAACCTACGTAGGAATGAGGTGACTGGTGTCATCCCGACAACTGTTAGTGGGCTATTGAAGCTTCAAGGTTTAAGTCTTATCGACAACAAACTGCAAGGATGCATTCCTAATGATATTTGTGGCCTCAAGGATGTTGGTTACTTAGGTTTGAGCAAAAATAGGCTTTATTGCTCAGTGCTACCTTGCTTGGGGAATATTACTTCTCTGAGATACCTCCTCCTGGATGACAATGAATTAACTTCTAGCATACCGGCTATATTGTGGAGCCTCAAAGATCTTTTGAAGCTCAACTTGTCCTCAAATTTTATAAGTGGCCATCTATCCCCGAAAATTGGAGGATTAAAGGTTGCAACATCAATAGATNTTGTGGAGCCTCAAAGATCTTTTGAAGCTCAACTTGTCCTCAAATTTTATAAGTGGCCATCTATCCCCGAAAATTGGAGGATTAAAGGTTGCAACATCAATAGATCTATCCATGAATCAACTCTCGGGCAATATTCCTAGCACAATGGGAAATCTGCAGACCTTGATTAATTTTTCTATAGCGCATAATGGATTTCAAGGACCTATTCCTGAGACATTTGGCAAGTTGGTAAGTTTGGAAATCTTGGATTTATCTCGTAACCATCTCACTGGTGTGATTCCTAATTCATTAGAGGCTCTTCTATATCTCAAGTATTTCAATGTANATCTATCCATGAATCAACTCTCGGGCAATATTCCTAGCACAATGGGAAATCTGCAGAACTTGATTAATTTTTCTATAGCGCATAATGGATTTCAAGGACCTATTGAGACATTTGGCAAGTTGGTAAGTTTGGAAAGCTTGGATTTATCTCGTAACCATCTCACTGGTGTGATTCCTAATTCATTAGAGGCTCTTCTATATCTCAAGTATTTCAATGTGTCTTTCAACGGATTAAGTGGAGAAATCCCCACCAGAGGTTGCTTTGCAAACTTCACGAATCAATCATTCATGTCAAACGAAGCATTGTGTGGTGCTCCTAGGTTGGGTGTCCCATCCTGTCATACAAAAACTCTTCACCTTACAAGGAGAAGAAGAGTTCTTCTAGCTGTATATATTTCCGTAGTGATTGCTCTGATAGTGCTTGCCTTGATCTTCACATTTGTGCTGGTAAGACGCCGAAAAATAAACAGAATTCCTGCTCAGACTGAACCATTGCCAGGGATAACACATGGAAGAATTACAAACGAAGAACTTTTTCGTGCCACCGATGGTTTTAGTGACAGCAACTTGCTTGGCAAGGGGAGTTTTGGTTCAGTATACAAAGGGAAGTTCAGAGATGGGACACTTTTGGCCATTAAGGTATTCAACATGCAACTGGAGGATGCATTCAAGAGTTTTCATACAGAATGCGAAGTGTTGCGCAGCATCCGGCACTGGAATCTGACCAAAGTCATCAGCAGTTGCTCTAACCTTGATTTCAAGGCATTGGCACTGGAGTTCATGCCTAATGGGAGCCTGGAAAGGTGGTTATATTCTCACAACTATTTCTTGGATATGTTGCAAAGATTAAGCATAATGATAGATGTGGCATGTGCATTGGATTACCTCCACCAAGGATATTCAACTACTGTGGTTCATTGTGATTTGAAGCCCAGCAATGTCCTGCTAGATGAAGACATGGTCGGACATGTGAGTGATTTTGGCATTGCAAAGTTATTAGGTGCAGGGGACAGTATTGCACAAACCAAAACCCTTGGCACATTTGGGTATATGGCACCAGGTGAGGCATGCAGAATTAGATTTGCATTAGGTCCATGTCTCAACTTTTTTTGATGCTTGGCAAAAATTTGGTTCTAAGTTTTGACAAAAAAATTTAGGGCAATTTATATTTTTGAACCCCTATTTATCATGTTTCTTACTCCAAATGTGGTGGTTGATTTCACATTGCCTCAATTGCAGACAGTAGAGACGTGCATTTTACTACAGACAGCAATTTTTTTTCCCAAAAGAAAACAGACCTTTGGCATTGGAGGCAATGTGAAACTAATTCTAGTAATTAATGGGTATGCGAGAAACCCAGTAGTTGAGGAGTTAAAATGAGATCATGAGCAGCCGTTGTCTTGCTTTTGTTTTTATAATTCTTTGTAATTTTTACAATTTTTGATGAACTTTTGCTCGTGTGATTCCACCGTGGATGTAAACTTTTAGGTTGAACAACGTAATCTCGTTTGTTTTTATTTTCACTGTCGTTTTATTGTTTGTTTGTGATCTTGAGCATACAAATTTTAATTAGTTGTTGTGTTTAATCCAGAGATTGGATTGGAAGGATTAGTATCGACAAGGGGTGATATTTACAGCTATGGCATTTTGGTGATGGAAACATTCACTAGAAGGAAGCCTATTGATGAAATGTTTGCTGGAGACTTGAGCTTGAAGCAATGGGTAAAGGATTCACTGCCTGATGGTATAATTCAAGTCATAGATGCCAACTTGCTAAGGCCAGAGGAAGAACACTTCGCTGAGAAGGCACATTGTGTGTCTTCAATTATGGAACTGGCTTTGAACTGCTCTGCAGAATCTCCTGCAGAGAGGATCAACATGAAAGATGTTGCAGCCGCACTGAAGAAGATCAGACAACAGTTTCTTGCAAGGACGAGTCTATAATTTTCTTTGGTAATAGCATTCCAACCATGCGACTTTAGACTTTATAGTTCCAATAAAAAAGTTGGATGCTCAATCACCTGCTAACCATGTGTATCAACTAACCTTGTACAGTTGCTGATTAGTTCAGTATATGCTATAGTTGTATGCTTTATATCTTGGCCTATCTGCATTCGAAATTTTTTGGGTAACAGATAACCGTAGAATTCATTGGAATCGTCTGTAATTCTCACATATTGATTAATCCATGACTCTATTGCGTGACTCGAACTTAAGATTTCAAGGTAATAACTCCTAAATGGCCCATCGACATTCCTTCACAGGGTTTTTTGAGGGCCTTAGGGTACAGGAGCTGCACCACTCCACAAAATTGATGGATGGAGGATTTCATGATTAAAGCTCAGAATCTCATCTTTAAATAAGAAAGAAAAAGACAAATCATGGTTTTATAAAGCATGATACATGCATGACAAATAATGCTTTCTAAAGCATAGCTGTTAAACAAACTAATGTAATTATTCATCCCCACCCTCTTTGATCATCAGCTTAAAATGCTGAGCCCTGCCTAAAATCTGGAACTTTTATATGTTTTGTAGCACAAATGGCCGGCAGATTTCAAATCATGGCCTAGATACCTGTGTTAAAAGCCATAGTTCACATTTTGAACAATTACTAGTTAGAAACTTTTTAACACTTTTTTAAGTGTTGTTTCTTTTTGAGTCGATTATTTATATGACATTTAAATTATGATTTTTTGTCTCAATTAAATCTTTAAATTCTTTTTTTGTGTTAATTGAGTCTTTAAACTCTCAAATTATGCCAATTGAATCCTTCAGTCTACCTCTATTAGAGTGTTCTACTTGGATGATCCTATGACATAAAAGACAGAAGGGCTTAATTTACACAATTAGAGAGTTCANAACTCTCAAATTATGCCAATTGAATCCTTCAGTCTACCTCTATTAGAGTGTTCTACTGGGATGATCCTATGACATAAAAGACAGAAGGGCTCAATTTACACAATTAGAGGGTTCTGGGGTTTAATTGACATAAAAAAAAGTTTAGGAGTTTAATTGATAAGAGGGTCATAGCTTAAATGTCATATACATAGTTTACTGCAACATATTTGTATCTCATGAATGACACACTACACCATTTTCCATTAGAAAAACTAACAGATGCAGACAAAAAGATTCAATTGATACAATTACAAAGTTCAAAACTCAATTGACACAAAAAAAAAAAAATTATGTGACTTAATTAACACAAGGGTCGTAGCTTGAGAATCATATGTATAATTTACTATTTTTTTTTGTTTTTTTTGCAAAGGTACTATAGGAACTGTTCCTAGTGCACTGTTACATGATTGNATTCAATTGATACAATTACAAAGTTCAAAACTCAATTGACACAAAAAAAAAAAAAAAATATTCAGTGACTTAATTAACACAAGGGTCGTAGCTTGAGAATCATATGTATAGTTTACTATTTTTTTTTTGTTTTTTTTGCAAAGGTACTATAGGAACTGTTCCTAGTGCACTGTTACATGATTAGCATCTTTAATATTTTACAATTTCTAGATATAGGAATTAAAACGATGATAAATACTATCTAAATAATATTTTGTGAATTGCTTACCATACAACTACATATCTATCATAGACAACTTTTGTGAATTGAATACGATCTTTTATATAGTGTTATCAATTATTGGCACAATACAAATATAAAATGACACAAATAATTAATTCAATTAATAAATATATCAAATTAGTGTAAGACATGAATAACCTGTTTAATTGATAATTTATAAAGACAATACATTTTTATTTTATTTTTTANATCATAGACAACTTTTGTGAATTGAATACGATCTTTTATATAGTGTTATCAATTATTGGCACAATACAAATATAAAATGACACAAATAATTAATTCAATTAATAAATATATCAAATTAGTGTAAGACATGAAGTTTTATTGATAATTTATAAAGACAATACATTTTTATTTTATTTTTTTAGTCTAGTATTGTATGAAGAATAATACAATCTAAGGGTTTTTATTGGGTTTTATTATGATCTAAATATAGTGTTTTTCAATTTATGAAGATATGTACGTGGTGGATTTGTATGATAGAAAAAAAAAGGTCCTAATTCTCTAATTTGATTCTTGAATTACACGATAGAAACTTGAAGTAAGAACACTTAAAATGGCATAAATTTATGATATGCCACGAAAGCTCCCACACTCCTACTTTTACATAAATATAAAGTTTAATAACATTTTTAGTCCTTAAAAAACGCACGNCCCACACTCCTACTTTTACATAAATATAAAGTTTAATAACATTTTTAGTCCTTAAAATACGCATAAATTTGGTCCTACTTTTATCAGTTTAATCCCTAAAGTATCAATTTTATAAATTTGGTCTCTAATATATTCAATTCGTATTTAAATAATCTCTACATAAATTGACTTTAAGTTTTTTGTCGAAATGATCACGTGATACTGTTTAAAAGAATGATACATGGTCATTTTCGTTAAAAAAAACTTAACGAATTGTCTGATAGGTCAAAAGTGATACGAATTAAAATTTCAGGGACTAAATTAACAAAATTAATACAATAAAANATAAATTTGGTCTCTAATATATTCAATTCGTATTTAAATAATCTCTACATAAATTGAATTTAAATTTTTGTCAAAATGATCACGTGATACTGTTTAAAAGAATGATACATGGTCATTTTCGTCAAAAAAAACTTAACGAATTGTCTTATTAAGGTCAAAAGTGATACGAATTAAAATTTAAGGGACTAAATTAATAAAATTAATACAATAAAGNAAAAAACTTAACGAATTGTCTGATAGGTCAAAAGTGATACGAATTAAAATTTCAGGGACTAAATTAACAAAATTAATACAATAAAAATTAAACTGACAAAACGAACATACTTTAAAAACTAAAAATGTTAGGAACCCTAAATACAATTCATTGGCTAATCGAGGAAAGTAAAGAAAGACCTAACTTTGGATATAAATGTAATGGTGGAGGGATGAGACGTGTGATTCCTCTAACAATGCCATTTATTTTAAGCAATCCAACTCATATTAATTTGGTATACCAAACTAAGCCAACTTGATCATGAGCTAGATACATAAAGGTTGTGGACAGAGTTGCTTTGTGGGCAGTGGCCGGCATGGAATCTTTGAGCAATTTCTTCAAACTGCTGGCAAAAAGAATGACCAACTCATCATATACTTGTTTTGATGGTCTGGCCAAAACTACCTCCTTTATGTACTCTGTGACACTGAGTCACACCTTTGTTTAATGAAGGTATAAAAAAAAAATTTGGTATCGTACTTCTAAATTTTACAACTTTTATAAGTTTTAATACAAATTTTGTGATTTGTTTATAACAAAAAAAAATTATAAAATTTATAATTTTTTAGGTCAAGTTACAACTTTTAAGGTTTAATTATAAATTTTTTTACGACAGGTTACAACTTTTACGATAATTTGCGATCGATCCTAAAAATTCTAAGATCGATCCTAACATCGATCATAAGTTAACTTAATAGTTGTAAAATAAACCTCTTACACTTACAAGGGACACCCAACAAATGACTGTTTTTATTGGCCTTGTCTTTTTTCCTGCTTTCTGTCAACACCTCATTTAGTCATTTTGTGGTCCTCTAAAATGCCAAACTATGTCACACATAAGTTTTTCCTTACTCAAAACAAGGAACCAAATCCTGTTTTGTAACAAAAAACACAGTTAGCTGGTTTAATTGAGGGGAGATGTAAGCACACACATTTTGAGTTTGAGTCATCTTGGCTACTTACATTTTGGTTTAACTGATACACGTCATTTTGTGAGTGATTCGATACATTCGAAATTTTCGTTGTGGATATGAGTTGAAAAGATTGTTGATTTGAAAGATTATTCGTTGACACAAAATAATTAATTGGTAGTTGAATTAATGAATTCCTAGCCATATTTATGTTTGTGATTCAAATTTTACATCAACCAATCGTGGAAGTAGAAGTGCAAATCAAGCCAGTACGACATGTTGAGAGGTCGTTCCGACTCAACCCAAGTTATATAACCCTAAACTCAAGTTTAACAAAATCTCAAACTTAATCTAAACCTCTCAATTTGAGTACTCTCTATATATGCTTCAATATGACAATTGAATCCGGGTTTGTGATTGAAGTATTGAGTTCAACTTGGGTTGAAATGAGATCGATATGATTTTTAACTAATCTGTTGAATCTGAGTTAAGTCTAGTTTAGTGCTTTTGGACTCCATACTACGAAGAATTCGAGAGTATTATCTGAATTTAGATTTAGTTAAGATTTGTTTTTTATTCTAACAAGCAATGTGAAAGTCCAAATTAAAAAAAGGGGGAATAAAGGGTTTTGCAATCTTTTCAAATCTGAATTTAGAAAATATTGCACCTCAATGTCACTTACCATCAAATTGCATCGAATATTATAAAGTCGGCTTAAAAGAATTGAAATTCCTTACTCTTTTTTGCCTTTGATTTTCTATAACTCCTTTTGTTGGAAAGCTACAATGTGTAATGAATCTTATGAAATTGGTTTCAAGGTGTTAATATTCCCCCATGAGAGATTATTCCGCGGTTTCTACATAATGAGAATCAACTTTCATCCTACCGTGGTTTTGAATTAATCACACTTTCTACTTTATTTCTCAAACAAACTGACATTATCAATGAAAGTGTAGTTTAAATTTGCACTTTTCAATGTAAAAGTTGAAAAACCAACGTATAGTGTGATTAAAATGAACAATGTTATTTAGACTTCATTGATCAACCTAATTCGTTGATCTAACTAATCATTATAACTAAATTGATAATAAATTTTGATATTAGTTGAAACTTATTATTAATTTAATGATTTTGATCGATTATGTCAACAAATTAAGTTAATAAATTATGGTCAAATAAATCACAGAGTGGGGTGGTCTAATGGGGTACTAACCGAACTTCTCACTCTGAAATTGAAAGTTCGAATTTTGGAGTCCACATTTAGGTTCGGTGGTTGGTTGCGCGACATTAACCTAATTAGGTTCGTTCCTGAGAATAGTAATGAATGCGGTCAAAGACCTCATGATCCTATTATTGAGGGTCTATTAGGATAGCCTATGGGTGTTCTCTTTTGCTTCTCACCCTTTTTTTTACAAGTCAAAAAAAAAAAAAATTATGGCCATATAGTATAATTGTTTATTGACATTATGTTTATGCAAGTCGTTTTCCAAGGATGAGTTCTTTTCTTTCTCAAATGTACATTTTTATGAAGTAGGTTTGAAAGTCTTGATATCCCCTATTATGTCCCTTTAAAGTGCTAAAACTTTAGAGGTAGCAATTTTTGAGACTATATGAAAATACGAGTTAAAATTAATATAAAATTAGTGGGTTAGGATGTATTATTTCTCTACACACACTTATAAATGACATGACTCGTTAACACATATAATAAATTGATTGGATTAGTATCAAATACGAATAATACGAAATTGACATGTTTAATTAGTATCATAAGAATAAAATGCTAATTTTTTTATTATTTTTTGATCAAGTATTGACATAATTCTTGTATAGAAAAAGATGTTTTTACTCTTTTTTTATTAGTATGTCTATTAAGTTAATTTTTAATTTATAAAAGAAGTATGAGCATGAGTTTAATTAAATAATATTAAAATCTTAAACTTAAATTTTAGTGTTAAATTTTTTATTCACAGTTTATATACGAACTTATAATACAAAAATAAATAGGTCAAATCAAAATAATATGATATGAACCCATAAATTACACACAGCACGCTTGACACAACTCAATATACACTGTTTCATCGTAGACAAATTGTTGACTGTTTTTCGTAACCTATAAAGATTTGACCATTTCTCACATGTTTTCAAAGAGCTTTCTTATCGTAGACCTTTCTCGCTTCATATGATTGGGATTCCAGATTAATTAACAAACAATAATCCCGTACCTAAAAATATTTAATAATATCAAAAAATAAACATTAATTGTACAATATTTATATTTTAAATAGAAATTTATTTTTCTTTTATTTTCTTTAGTTATACAATTTAGAATTAAAATAAGTAGAGAAAAAATATAAGAAAGAGATCGCGCAAAGAGTTATCTAACATTGAGGGTCATACATATAAAATGATATTTTTATAAGGAAAAAAAATTAGAATAATTTTTTTACCATTAAATTAAAGTAGATAAAAATTAGATTCAACTTCTTCAGTGAATTTTCTATCCTTATTATATTTTTATAATTTGAAAATTCAATTTCTTAATATTAGATAGATAATGTGAGTCACGGTAGTAAAGGGTAGATTTTTCAATAAACCCATGCCCAACTATTTATATTTGTATATAATTTTTTTTTTTTGGGAGGGGAAGGGAAAGGGAAAGAGAGAGGGGAACTTAAACCCTTAATTTCAAGAATGTAAAGTCTTAACAAAGCAAAAAGTATTATTGCACCAAAAATTCATTGATTTTATATATAATTGAACCCATATCCTGTCGAATTTATATCATGTATAAATTATTTTCTAACAAATTATTATCGTGTTAAAATTTGTTCAACCCATATCACATATATTTTATAAATACGCATAATCAGATTTGTATCCAATATTTAACACTTTCGTGTGGTATAATATAATGGTTCGTGTTCATCAATTTATTCAACAAGTCCGCCCAATTATCATCTAAATTGCGAGGATTAAACTCAAAAATGTTAAATCTGCGTTAATTTTTATGTTAAAATTGTGTATCATGCATGGAATGGTCGGGCATAATCGTCTATATGCATTGTATGGAGTTCTGCATTATGTCGTATTAAAATTTACATAACTTATACTAAATGTATTATAATTATTAAATTTATTGTGAATTTTAAATAAATATTATAATCTATTATTAATTTAATAATTATAAATTAATAAATTAAATTTAAATAACTTTACTCGTAACAAAATAGTCCAAATGGAAGAAGCAAAAACTTGACAGATAACAAAAACAAAAAAGCTTAAGCATTGTTTCTAAAAAGTAGTAAAATCCAAAACATAGTAGCTCTTGTGTTCTAGAATCTAAGCTGACCCACACGCGCACGTTTTACCCAACCTTTGACCCATGAAAACGCGGGACTGTTAACCCCACACTCCAGCCCATTTTTCATATTCCCAAAATACCACTCCTGCACCCCCAAAGGTATGCTCTAACCCTCTACCTTAAAAACCTAAAGAAACCAACGCCCAATCCCAAAACGCCCCCACACCACACCTTATAACCAACCACAATCTCCAACAACAAAGACATATTCTTAGAGAGAGAGAGATGGAGAAGAAGCCATGTTTTTCGCTCTTTTTCAAGAGGCTAGGGAAGAAGAGTTCATGGAGGTTTAGGAGCTCTGGGCTAAGGTGGAAGAGGAAGTTCAGCTTGCATCTTTGGTTCGTTGATCATTTTCTCTTCAAGATTGTTTCTGTTCTTGAAGCCATAGTTTTGGTCTCAAATCTCTGTTTCTTCTACCTTTGTTGTGGCTGTCATATCTGAAATTTTATGATCTTTTAAGAGGAGACCCTTAAGGAGATGTTTAACACGTTCTGAGCCTTGTGACTGGTATTCTGGAGAGAGAGAGAGAGAGAGAGGGCTGGAGAGAAAAAGTACAGAGGTGTTGTTGTAGATGGTGAAAGACCCATGATTGAAAATTTCTGTACATTCTCTTTTATTTTTATTTTGTTTTGTCTCTCTAACTCTCTTGTTTCTTGCTTTTTTGGGGAGTTTGGGTTGTTCTGTGGACGGTAGCAGGCTCATTTTGTTTTGTTTTTGCATCTGTAATTAGGTGATTGTTCTTCTTGTAAGTAGTATTGAATATTGATTCTCTCTCTCTCTCTCTCACATTTTGTTGTTGATTGTCTGGAATCCGACCCGACCTGACTCGTAATTGAGTTGGGTAAATGTTGGGTGTATGAATGTGCCCCAAATACACCATGGGTATAAAATATGTTGACGCTGCATTATATTTGTGACTATGAATGGAGGATATAAAATAAAATTGAGATTCATTAGCACAATCCACTAAATTGATGCGAAGTTAATATGAAATTATTAAAAATTTAAATTATTTTCAAATGAATCAATCAAATCCTTTTATAACTAGGTTGATGCAACTTAAATGTACATCACTTGTACATGATACAAGGAGAAACACAAACAATTTCAACTGAGTCGGAGATGGATAAACAACAGGAGCGAACCAGAAATTAATATGAGGATGGACACTTAAATTAAAATTATATTTTTTTCCTTTCAACTAACTAGACTAAACAATACAAAGTAAATTTTAAAAATCATATTTAATTCCTAAAACTTTGCTAAACCCAAATGGCCAAAAGCCAATATATATTGGGTGTCATTAAAAATAACAAAAAAAAAATCTAATTCTCATTTTACATAAAAAAAAAAAAGAAGAGGCTAATTATATTCTTTCACAATTAATCTCTTTCTAAAAAAGTCATTAGAGGATCGCAATTGCTGAAGATTCGTACTTACAATCTTGGTATTGCTCTTCTATAATTGTTCTTCCCCTTGTTTTTATATTTTGTCTCAAAGTCATGTTAGTTTGGGTGGTGATCTAAGAAGTATCCGTGAATAAGATGAATAAATAAAAGGAGTTTTCATAGATCATGAATGTGGGTACCGCTAAGTATTGTTGGTTCATATACTCATGAGTGAGCACCACCTGTGAGTTAACTCATAAAATATTTATCATACATGTATGTATTGAATAAATTTTTTTTTTCAGGGTGGGCCGGTGCACCCTCTTACCTATGATTGGCGCCGCCCACTATAAACAACATAAGTCTTATATGGCACAAATCGCTATTAATTCAATTTTAAATAGTTTTATTTATTTTTAAGTATATTACAGTCAAAATGTCCATACTTATATTGATGTTAAAAATTTATGAGAACTAAATTTTATTGGTTTTCAATATAGTTGTTATCTTTGAAACTTTGATTGTGATAGGGTTCTTAAATGATTTATTTGATTAGCTTTGAAGATCCCATTCGAATCCCTCTCACATGGTTCTCGCTAAGTTGGCTGCGATGGGTTGCGGTGGAAAATTCAAGTCCAACGGTCGTGAATCAACGGTCACGTACGATTGCAATGATCATGTCAGACTAGGAGGTTTCAAGTGGGCCCTTTTTGCTTGGATCATAACGTTGTGACAGTTCACCACTAGAGATGTTTTTTTTTAACTGAGTTTTTTTTACTTGATAACATTCTGTTTCTTTGGTCATGAGACTTTAATAGTATGCGTTGTTCAATGAAAAAATAGTGAATAATTTATAGGGCAAATTCCTGTTTATCCTCCTCCTGGTTTGTGCCTTGAATAGATGACCCCCCTTTCAATTGAAAATAAGCACATCAACCCCTTTTGATTATGGACTAAATTACAACTGTTAAGTTTTTCGTCAAAACAGACAGAAGTGGTGTGGACGCGTTGGTTTGACGATTAATCAACAAAGTTATTAACTTCTCTCCAAAATAAATATACACAAATGTAAAAAATGACCCTCTTACGCTATGTTAACATATGTTATACACTTCGGCCTTCCACAAGCTCATCCTCATGGCTTCCAAACCCCAGCGCCTCCGTCAATGTAATATCTCTCTCTCTAAGTTGATCTTACAAAGCGCAGCAAAGAAGTCAATAACAGTGACCAGTGATCACTGAATCCTCTTCCATGAAAGAAGTTTTCTCCAAATGTGCTGACTACCGGAATAACATCTTAAAACATACTCACCATTTAATTTTCATATATTCACACTCAGTGTTGGGTATGAGTTGCTATCGGAAGCTTCAAATGAAAATTTGAAAATGGTTTTCAAATGGATTTTGAGATGAGTGTTGAGCTGTTAATTGCAAAGAGAACTTTTGCTACAAGTCATCATCTACAATTCTATGATAGGGGTAAGCTTGTTTTCATTTTCAATAACAATTTCCTAAAGTTTCTTTAGTGGCCGTGGTGTATAGTGAGAAAAAATCAAAACCCTTGTTTAAGCTTGAAACTTGAATTTTTGGCTATTCAAAATTTTTGAGTTTTGGAGGTAAAGGGGGGCCTAATCCACCATTTTTAGGGTTAAAGAATCTATTTTTGAAGTTATAATCGAGAAAGAATGAGATCTAAAGAGTGAAAAATTGAATTAAAAATTGTGACAATTTTTGAAAATGATAAACCCGTCACTTTGGAGCTCGATTTTCCACTTACCTTGTGCATGATCTGGACAAACTAAATACACGATTGCAAAGAGGGTAAAAATAGGTTAAATTTAGGCATTTGAATGACCCAAAAAAATTGAGAAATGAGGGAGAAATTAAGGGCCAAAGTTTGCTCAAATGTTGAAAAAAAATCTAGTATGTACATAACCTGTCAAAATAAGTTGGTGATCACATTTGAGCTTAAATTCGTGGGTCATGAGGGCTATTTAAAGAAACAAGTCTGTGGGGTTTAAAACTAGGTTGAGAGTGGAGGATATTGACATTGGTTTGAGGAAGTTTTGTACTTTGTGCAGAGAGAGAAAAACTTGTAAAGTTGGGTGGTTGGTTGATTTTTCAGAAAATTAGGCAACAATTGAGAGAGAGGAAGAAGATGATGAATAGTTGAGGGTACTAAAGTTATTTTATTACTTCTATTTACGATGTTAATTGTGCATATCGGTCCAAAAGCATAAGGGGGTGATGTACTGATTTCTAAATCATAAGGGAGTCATGTGCAAAACACCCAAACCGTAAGGGAGTAAATTAGAGTTTGCCTAATTTATATTTATTAAACTCAAAATTTTATCTGGGGAAGCGAGTTAAAAGTGCAACGTATTAAAATGACATCTACCGGTCCATTAAAAATATTTATAGTTATTTATAAGGGGCTGAATAACAAGTTCAAAATGTGAGAACGTAACTTCTTACAATAAAATATAACTATAATTGGAATTTTTAATATATGTTTAGCATACGATTATTATGAGGATTTGGTAGGTCATTAAATTGCAATTAGGTTTCCGTGATTAATCAGAATAAAAATTATCAACCGGTGCTTACAAAGACGTTGTATCTCTTTACGGATTCCCATTTAGTAAAGTAGCTGCTTCGGTGTGGCTAGAATTCTAGGGAACAACATAAATTTTGTGTTTTTTTTTTTTTGTTTTTTGATTGTTTATGGCGCTACAATGAGTCATTAAAGCTTAAAGTTATTTACCTTTGAATATCTTAGAACTAGATTTAACAGAGGAAAATTTTTAAGGGCCACACAAGAAAAGAGTATAAGTCATGGTGGTTGTGACTAGAAGACTTAGAAGTAGCATCTCCCTAGAAAAGTTAGTAGGAATTTGTGTTAGGAAAATTTATGCCGTTGTTTTTGTGCTGAGGAAAACACTGTTGAAATTGACAAGAAGCAAAGATTAAAACTTTATTTTGAATTGGCCGAAACATTTTCACCTTTATTAATGAAATTAAAATTTTAGTGTTTCGAAGTATTTTTGAATGATTCGTTGTATTTCAAGATATTTTCACAAATATTAAGAGAAAGCTTACAACTTAATCGGACATCAAAGTTACCATTAATTGGGTTTCAAAAAAAGTTAGAATCAAACTTAATCAAGCACATTAATTTATAATTTGACATGTTCTTCTAATTGGATTAGAATAAAGGTTATACTTTGTACTGTAACATATTTAGAGACGTTAAAATATGATATGAACCATTTAAATGACATAAAATTAGAGGGTTTGTGTTTACTTTTAAGTCACCCGTTTCGTAAACAAATGTGTTATACAAACCACGTTTAATAAATAAATCAGGGATGGGTGAAACTAATAAAAATAAATACACAATACGACTCGTTTACATAATGATCATAAATAATTCATATACAATACGAATACGATATGACATGATTAGTTAGATATTAATTAATAACTGAATCAAGTGTAAGTAGATTATTTTGTTATAAAAACTCGTTAAGACCCGATATTAATCCGCCTTATTCGATACGATTAATAGACCTCAACATAATCATTCTCCTTTTTCATTTTTTTTTTCTAATGTTAAAAATCAAAGTTATAGCGGCTTTGCCACAGTTAAGTCCAAGTCAAAGAGATTGTATTTTTTCGCTTGTGAAATAATATATTCAAACGACAGCTTGACAAATGCATAGTTTTCCTTGTAATTGGACAAACAACGAGTTCCTTCCACCTCAAGGAAAAGAATGCTCTAAACATTTTGACCAAACAAAATATATAATACATAATTGTGACCTAGTCAAGCTTACAATTTATTAGTTATAACCCATGTATGAAGACATGATAAAATAAAAAATTTAAAAGTCCAAAAAATCGATCTCACTATATTAAATTTTTTTAAAATATATTAAATATAAATTAATTAAATATTAAATAATTAAATATATGATAGAAATGAGTGGTGTGATATTTTTAAGTAGAAAATATATAAATGATAAAATATGTGATAGAAATGAGTGATGTGATTTGACGTTTGAGTCTGACAAATAGACAATAGATGAGATAAATGATTGATGATAGTTTTGACAGAAAAAATATGATTGAGATAAAATTTAAATAAATTTTTATTTTATTATATAATTTTATTTATTTATTTTTTGGTGGTGGGGAGGAACGTCACCAAAGTGGGTTAGCTAATAAAACTAGTACGAGAAATGTCAGCCCTAATCAAATGTAAAATACACTCCCGGTGGTGAGTCGAAGACGACCATGTCCTCGAGTCGGTTTAGACCCAAATTGGCAAGGCAATCTGTACATTGGTTTTTGGGTAAATTATATTTTATTTTCTCGAACAATTATTTTTATTTCATTTTACACTTTTAAATATAGAATTTCTCATATTATACTCTAAAGTATTAATTTTATTTCATATCACC